TCCTTCCTTCCTTGCTTTCATCCTTCCTTCCTTCCTTCCTTCCTTCCTTCCTTCCTTCCTTCTTCTCTCTCTCTCTACAACTTTCTTTCCTTCTTTCTCTCTCTCTCTCTCTCTCACACACACACGCACACACACACACACACACACACACACACACCATTTCCCTCATGTCTGCCACTGACAGCTCTCAAAGAAAAGGAAGGACTCCTGCCTTGGGAAGGGGTTGGACTAGATTACCTCCAAGTTCCCTCGCATCCTTCTATGTTCTCTGTCCCATTTAGTCACAAACAGCCACATTCACTTTAAAGTTGGTCGCAAACACCACTCACCCTGCACGTGCCCTGGTCCCACTCAAGGAGGCGAACTGTGGGATGGGGGAAAGGGGGGAGTCTGTGGCTCCACGTCTGTGGCTCGATCTTCTTCCCTGCCTCGATTCTGCTGGCGGGAGGTGCTGCTGCTGAGGTAGCGCGGTGGTAGCGGGGGAGTTGGGGCGCTGCCTGCCCAGCAGTGCAATCCACAGCGAGCCCAGAGGGGCATGGTGGCAGCGAGGGCAGCCGAGCGGGGGCAGCACTTTGGTGGGTGCTGAGTGAAGGAAAGAATGAAGAAGAGCCGAGTTGAGGGGGAAAAAAAGCTCTGCCGGGCGGGGGAGCAGGGTGGGTCGCTCCATGGTGCGCTGGTCCTGCCGCCACAGAGCCTTTTATTATTATTTTTCTCTTCCCCTCACAAGATTCGCACCGACAGTGGCAGGAGCAACAGCCTGGTGTGCGCTCCTGATCCAGCCTGCCTGAGAATCAGGAGGGGAGTTCGGCTGTTTGAAAAGCCCCACGTGGAACTCATCTTCTGTTCCTTCTTCTGCTGTTTGAACAAGGCGGGGTGCGCTGCCTTGTCTTTTACAGCCACCTCGTTTCCAACTGGGGGAATCCATGTCAAGGATTTCTTCCCCCCAAATTGGAAATGAAAAACTGTGAAAGACAAGGCAGCGCACTCCACCTTGTTCAAACAGTAGAAAAAGGATCAGGAGAGGAGTTCAGCTGTTGGAAAAGTCCTGCATGGAACTCCTCTCCTGTTCCTTCTTCTGCTGCCTTATGGCACCCTCTGCAGCCCACTCTGCATGGAGTTGAGTTGGGGGCAGGCAGCCCTTGCTAGGGTTTCCCTCTTCCTCCACCCAGCTCTCCACCTCCTTCTTTGCTTAGGCTCTCCACTGGGTTTGGGGGCTTCTGCCCCTCATGCCACACTTTGCAAGCATGGCGAGGCAGAGAGAGAGAGAGAGAGGAGAGAGGAGAGAGGGAGAGAGGGAGGGAGAGAGGGAGGGAGGGAGGGAGGGAGGGAGAGAGAGATCGAGAGAGAGATCGAGGGGTGACCAGGTGGGCAGGGGGAGCGAGTGGGGGTGGGCAGGCCAGTGGAGGAAGCATTCCAGTACGGTGCCACTGGACCAACTGGTACTGAAAGGCACGGTAAATTTGACCATCTGATAATGCGTATCATACCGTACCTGCAGAAACCCACCCCTGGTACTAGTCTTCAAATAGTTTAAGTTTCAAAATAAAGACACAATTATTGAACCACTTGTTTCCTTTTTCTTTACTGTGCCCCTAACAATCTGAATGGTCAGCTTTTAACCTGACCATTCAACCCTTGGGGCCAACAGAAATAGTTCATTAGTCCCATATGTTCAGTGGAAACAATCCTGATCTTGAGGGACACATGTGATGACATTTTCACTTTGCTAGCCTTCATGTGAAGGCAAATGTACATTTTTTCTGTTGAATTTAGTGGAACATTTCTACATGTCCCAACTGCACAAAGAAATGCACCGGAAGCTCTAGAGCAGGAAAAAATAAACATTTGAACATAACATTTATAATGGAAGAAATGAGCTGCTTGGGAAATTATAGCCAAATAATTATTTTAGTTTAATCCTGAAATCTGAATTTTGTGTGCATTTGTTAGACTTGAATAAAATAAGATGAGTTGATTATAACAGAACAGGTAAACTGATGTCTGGGCACTTTTGAGTAAATGTCTTTTAGTTCCAAGAGGAAGACTAACTAAAAATTGATCTTTTACTTTCCAGAAATGGTGACTAGTATTTGATAGACTGAACTTTCAATCAGCTCTAATGACTAGTTTCATTCTCCCCTTCTTTAGCCAAATTACAGCAAGAAATAGAACAGGCCTCATCAGTTTGTAAGATTGTCCATGGTATCACCTCCAACAAGATGGGTGGCATATAAATTTAATAAATAAATAAATAAAATGTATACTACTTGCCGAGTAGCAAATGAACTTAGTGGAACAACCACTTACTTATTATATTAATGTGAAATAGAAAACACAATTCCCTAGCCACTTAGGTCCAGTCAAAATAAGAGTAAAAGCATCTATTTCAAGATAAACAACTTGAATCGTAAATAGCTTAGTGTTTAATTTCATTCCATGGCAAACATGTACACATTTTCAGAAACCACACAAAAGGCTGCCCTCCTAAAGACAGGGTGTTGTTGTTGTTATTTTGCATAGCATCCCAATTAGGAATGGCAAATAGAGCACCTTTTATTTCTACCCTAAAGGTTGAGGAAAGAATTTCTGTCCCTCAGCCAAGAATCAAATTCTGCATTGACTTCATTTATTGCTAAAAGGAAATACTAAACAAACTATTTTATGCAATTAAAGTGCATATCTATCATTCCTTAGCCATACAAAATATGACTGAAAGTATTTCTTTCCCTCAAATATGATAACACTCACACATTTGTTGTTGTAGATCCTCCTTCTATTAGAAACCACAATATCTTCAATGTAACTAGCAGCAGTTTTGAAGCATCTTGGAGTATTAATTCTTCGCAGAACCATTCGTTCCGAGTAGAAGTGTACAAAGGCAAGGAACTTGTTGAAAGAATGGAAATCACAGATATGAAGCTAACTATGTTAAATCTAGAAGCAAGTGTAATGTATACAATGTCCATCAGCTATGAAGCTTGTGGTAAAAATGTTACCTCCAGTAGAATTGTGAAAACAGGTACAGTATCAATTTTATTATTACTATTTTATTCAATTGAAAATATTTTTCTAATTTGTTAATATGTTTCTTAAAAAGCTCCCTAATTTGATCTGATAGTACTGTAAATCTGAAGTGCCTTAATAATTAGTGTCTAATTAAGATTTGGGAAGCATGAATGTTTTATTAATTTGTCTGTTTTCATATGTTTTACCTCTCATTGTATCATGGTCTTAATATGAGGATTTGTTCCATGAATTAGGAAAGTGTCTTCTTTGGTGCATTAAACCCTGTGAGGGTTCTTTGATTTTATTATTTTTAAAAATCAATTATTAAATTTATTATACTGCTTCTTCCAACATTCAAGGTGGTGTACAATAATTTTTAAAACTGTAACAAGTTAATATGATTAAAATCAAAACCAGAATTAAAATTAAGCATTTAAAACAATGAATAATGTAAAGCTTGGTAAAAGAGATGTATTTTTATCACCTTCAAAAAGAGATGATAAAACAAATGTCCTTAGGGAGCATGATTCACAGACCTGAAGCCACATAGGAAAAGGCCCACAATTTCACCATGCCTGAGAATCAAACATCTTCAAAAAAGTCTCTCCTAAGGAGCTAAATAAGTAAGCAGCTTCATAATGGAAAAAGCAATCCTGAAAATAATCTGATTTTGTTTGATTAGGTGTCTGATGCACTCAGAGATTCCGATGACATAGAGCAGGGGTGTCAAGCTGGTGTTCCATGGGCCAGAAGTGTCACATGCAGGCCACGCCCACCCCAATTACATGAATGGGGAAAACATTGTGAAATCTCATGTGACATAATGAGTTTGACATTAATGACATAGAGGATGCTCTATAATTACTGGCTGTGGGAGAGATTGTTAAAAAAAAGTCAAGCTAGTGGCTGCAACTACAGTGTTTCTCCAAAAATACTACATATCCTCATAATACAGCCATGCCACATTTTTCTGGTGGGCAAAAATATAACCCCCTGCAAATAAGCCCCCTGGGCACCTCCGGCCAGGCAGAGCATCGCTCATCAACCTAGCAGTATCCCAAAGGTGCCAAGCTGCGGGAATCTGGGGGGAGGCAAAGGTGATCACGTTGCTTGGCTCCTTCGGATACCACTAGGTTGGTGAGCAGCGCTGTGCCCAGCTGAAGAGGGGGTTGCCAGTTTTCTTGTGAACAAGCTCCCAAAGAGCTGGGCACAGCCTCATGGGCGAATGGCTGTGTTGCGCTGTCGCAGCAGCACAACACAACAGCCATGAAGTGACCACGCTCACAAGCAGCCACCCAGCAAACCCACTTTGTAGCCGGGTACAGCGCCATTCACTGGCATTTGGAAGGTGCCAAGCTGCAGGAGCTGTGAACCGGCACTCACGCGGCTTGGTGATACCCTAGGTCAGTGAATGGCGCTGTGCCTGGGTGCAAAGGGGGTTGCCGAGTGGCTGCCCATGAGCATGGTCACTTCATGGCTGTTGTGTTGCGCTGCCGCGACAGTGCAACACAGCCATTCGCCCATGAGGCTGTGCCCGGCTCTTTGGGAGCCCGCTCCCAAGAGAGCAGCTGCCCAGCAATCCTAAAACAATAAACCCCCTCCCCATAATAAAGCCCAAGCCATATGTTGGTAAAAAGAAAATAAGATCCTGTCATATTTTCAGGGAAACACGGTATGCACTTGAAGTCCCATGATTTTTTGATGCATGTTGCATACATGTCACATGTAAGAAAGGGGCAAGAAATTGATTGTATAGTTGTAGCTCCTACCTCCCCTGAACATTCTTGTTTAGTTCCCTTTTGAATCTTTTCAACAGGTGAAGTTTGAGGAGTATAGTGAACAAGGAGGTGTAACATGGGTCCTGCATTATTTAGAGCTTGGAGCCTACTTACATGGAGCAGTGCATGAACAGGGCTAGCCTCTGTTTCATTTGTATAATTAATTTGTTTCAGCTAACTTAATATTTTTTTCATGCATAAATGAAAGGAAATATTACTCTGTTATTATATTTATACTTATTATGTACAAAATGTTGTTATTCAGGTGAAATTGTGGATCCTGTTACTACACAGGGATCAAATGTAACTGATTATACAACTACCACACCTTTCTCAAAGGCAGAAATACAGGAGGTGTCATCTTTCACTAAGTATACTGAAGCAACAGTGCTGCCATCTAGTGGCATCCAGGAGTCAAGCACTCTTTCAGCAGGGAAGACATTGGCAACATCTCAAAAGATGAATATATCAGGGAATTTCAGGAAGAATAGCACCTTAAATAGCCCAGAAACAGTTACTTTGGCTCCAAAATGGTCGGGCAATGTAACAATCTCAAATGGAACTGTAGCTGAAGAGAGATGGACCACCCAAGATCAGCAAAACTCTTCAATGACATCATCACCTGGAGTTTCAAACATAGAAAACTATTCTTTTAAGAGCAATGAACCTACAGTGGAGGCTAGCACAACTCGCTTCTCAATTGAAAGAAGTTCTGAGAATGTTATAGCCGTGAATGTAACTGAAAATGCCAAATTTCATGCTTTGAACCATACCCTTGATAGGCACATTGGGGGAACTAACAGCTCTTGGTCTAATGAAAGAAACAGTACAGCACCACCATCTTCTTTCAAGAAGAATATGGCAATCTCCCTTGCTACAGATTTGAGTGGTGAGTATACCTTTATGTTAGCATTGACTTTAAAAGTAATAGGTTATTACAATGAGAAAGGCAGTGGGGTTTAGAAAATGGACGCAAATGGCAACAAGCCGGAGGAGTGGTTCCATCTAAATAAAATAAGAAAAAAAAAAAGAACATGGAAGTTCTAATATTTTCGTGGGATTTAAACAGATATATAGCGCAACCAGTTCCCTTGTTTGTAAAATAAAAAGATAAAGGTTTCCCCAATCTGGTTGCGTTTTACTCTAGGGGTTGGTGCTCATTTCTGTTTCCTAGCTGAGAGAGTCTGAAGATTCTTCTGTGGTCATGTGGCCAGCATAACTATATGTGGAGGTGTGCAGAATACTGTTACCTTCCCACCAAAGTACTTGCAATTGTGTGCTTTCAAACTGCTAGGATGGCAGGAGCTGGAGCAGGAATGGCAACTCACCCCGTCACACAGTACTTGGGTCTCAAATTGCCAACTTTCTAGTCAACAACTCAAGCATCTTAGCAGTGAGGCCACTGTGCCCCCTAAAATAGGTGTTCATTATTTGCATAGAATGCTGATTGCCTTGGAACTAACTATAATTACATGAGCAGGGTCATAATAGAAGAAAAGTTTTCGTACGATTAACTATTCTTCCAAAATTGTATCATTTGTTATTTAGGTTCTTATTTAGCCTTGTCCAAAGATTAACCAGATAGGTATCATCTAAGCCAAACATCCCCAATCGTTCTGGCCCCATAGACTGGCTGCGGCAATGGTGACAATGATGGCAGTAGTGGTGGCGGGTGTGTGTGTGATTTTGCATGCACAACCTAGATCCTGCGCATGCGCTCACCCATCACTTGCACAACCCAGTTCCCAACAGACCATGGACTAATACTGGTCTATGGAACCAGGATTTGGAACTCCTGATCTAAACCCATTTTCTAGTTGGGGCCGAGAAAAAAATCCAAGCAACAGGTTTCTACACTATCAAATATTCTTTTTAATAAAGCATCAAATTGTTCATAAAACAAATGTGATAGATAATACTAATAATGGATTCAGTTGTTTCCCTTTGTCTTTTCAGCGGTATTTCCAGCTGAAAGAATATTTTTTTCCAGTGTGATGAATACTAGCTTTCAGATTGCCTGGACTACACATTTTTCAGCAAATACTACTTTCCATTTTCTGCTCTTTGAGCAGGAACAGCTGATAAAGAAGATTAAAACCCAAAGCTGTCATCTGAATATTTCTGAACTAAAACCAGGAACTTTGTACACTGTTAAAATAAAGCCAGACTTTTATGGAAATGAAAGTAAAATCGTGCAACGTAAAATAAAGACAGGTAAAGCAACATAAAATATCATAGTGTGCATATACTTCTGCAGAAGTCCATAACAGAAAGTGTTACCTTTCCAATTTATCCTAAATAAATATCAACAGACATTTAGTAAACATCAGATGTCTAGCATACTAGCATGCTATTGTCTTTCCAAATATCCTTCCTATTTATGGAATCAAGTTTAGAGTGATTGCAACTTGTGAAAATGTTCCCCTTGATTATATTTGGTGTTTTTGGAATTTATCAAGAAAATAATCAAAATTATTGATTTTTTGTAAGCAAGGGGTAGGTGAATATCCAAAATAATTAGAATATAACATAATAATAGTTATTTTCTAAATATATCATATTTGCAGTTATAATTGTTGATATATGCTAATCATCAACAATTACATTTCTTTTTTAACATAGAGGGATGAAGAAAGGACTTTGGGGTTCTTTTTTTGTTTTTTCTATTTTTAAAATAATATATTGTGTAGGATAAATATTGTTAGCTATTAATTCAGACTATTTGATTTAATTTGCTAATATTTGTACATAGTATATGATGAATGTTATATTTTAATCTTCATCATTATATTGTTTTCACAATTATTCACAATCAAAATAATTTCAAAATTATTTTATTTGTTCAAAAGAGCAAAAACTGTTCTGCACTTCTTTGATCGTAGATACAAAACAGTCAGATGGTAAATATCACTTGTGTCTCTAAATGTAAAGTTGCTTCTTTTCAGTTGCTTTTAAGATATTCTTTTGATTTTCCATTTGAAGTGTAGAAGTGAGTTGGCATAATGTATTTGATGTCTAGAACCTGCCCACAAACTGATTACTCGTATTTTAACTAACAATGCTTGTCTAATTTTGGTCACCTTCTCATATCTTGCAGCTGCCCAGAAGTTTAATGGGACAATTAGGATAACAAATCTGAACTATAGCTCAGAGTTCAGCAACTCAAGAAGTGAAAAGCACCAAAATTTTTCAAAGATGTTTCTTAATGAAGTAAGATGATGATACCTTTTAAAAAATGAAGAATGTAAAAATGTATAAGGGACATAATCAGATACTTATTTTATTGAATATGATCTAGGATATCCATAATGTCTCATAATGTGGAGTAATAATTCTATGGCAACGTAACCTTAAGTTGCAACTTGCAAATCTGAAATAGGGATAAAAATTACAGAACTAAAAATAGTACGAAGTTGAACTTTGTGCTCAGCTTCAAACCCACAAATTCACTGACTGAAAAGTGAATGTGGTGAATAATACCAATTGCCCATATTGCCAGAATCAGTCCCTGGATTTGCTTTATTTCCATTCAGCTGGCTGGATAAGAATGAATTGGATTGGATTGGATTTATTACATTTATATGCCGCCCTTTTCCCCGAAGGGGACTCAGGGCGGCTCACAATTCAGTCAGGGAAGGGGTACAGACAGGGGATAAAATAAAAAAACATAACAATACACAATTTAAAACACACAACAACCATACCATTCGAGAAGGGGGGGGGCAAAAGCTCTTTAGCCCCAGGCCTGTCGGA